GTCTGGTTCTGGTTGAAGACTAAAAAGTCTTTGTGCCATCATCTGGTGTTGGTAAATCTACTTGTTTAGTTGGAAAACATGCCTGGTCTGGTTCTGGTGAAGACTAAAAAATCCTTGTCATCATCTTGTACCAAAGGTGTATCCCTGTTTTCTTCTTGGTTGCTAGAAGTCATATCCTCAATGCTGCTGGTGTCGTACTCATCAGGATCAAGAAAGTTGCTTGAGTCGTTAGATTGAGTAATTTCTAATGAGATGCTATCAACGCCTGCTTTGATGCTCTTCAAAATATCTGCACGGTCCACAAGTGTATTAGATACTTTGCCACTTCTTTTGGCATCATCAACCTTAGTTGATGATGTTTTATTCCTGACAATTTTCTTTGGTGCTTCTTTGATAACACTAATTTTAGGTGTCACATCTTTAATTTTGTTACCTAGACTTCTGGTTCCTGATCTAATATGGTGCATAGCAATATACTTATCCCGAGACTCCAGAACTTGTAACAACCTTGCAACCTCATTCTCTGCAATCTCCAAAGCCTTCTTGGTCTCCTTATGCTTACTATTCTCGTTCATCATCTGGACCTTAGAATTCTTACTCAATAACTGCATGCTCTTCTCCAGTTGCACATTGGCATCTCTCTGTTTAGCAATGTCGTCCTGGAGTTTCATATTTTCCTCCATCAATTGTTGGCGTTCTGGTAAATTGCGGTCCTCGCTCAAAATCTGGAGACGCACATAAGCCTCTTGGAGACTGCACAACTTCTTCTCGGTCTGTTTAAGTTTATGCGCAACTCCTCGTAACTCCTTCCTCATATGATGGTACTTGTTCTGACAACTACGCATGTCTTCATCCTGGTTTCGAAGTAATTGAGGCAACTTGGACTTGCAGTTCTCCAAACGACTCAGGACGGTGTCCTGCTTCGATTGTAGTTGCTTCAGGAGCCTATTCTCGTTTGTCAATTCATTGATGTGTATCTGAGCTGCTCCAAGTTTGTTATGGAGCATCTTGATCTTCAATTTCTGGTCCATGAATATCTTCTCGGTGACGTCGCAGTGGTTATAGTTAATGTTAACGAAGCCTGCATGTTTCTTAGGTTTTTTACCAGTTTTGAGGGATACATTTTTGTAGACGGATAAAGAATGTTGACTGGATTGCGGAAGTTCATGTTTGCTGTTGGTTACTTCAAAACTGTTGTCGTTGGAAGACATTTTAATAGAGCGTATAACATTTCCTCATATAGCAACTTAGGTGTGTATATAAAAATATTAGTGTCATTTTTTTTTATTTGACAAATGACATATTCCACTGTTTTATATAATTCTAGATTAAAAAGTATAAAAAATGGTAAAAAGATATAAATGAGATGAAAGTATGTAAAATAAGGTATACATGTATCAAATATAATTAAACTTTATACAATAACAATAATATATGGTAAAAAAATTAAAATGATGTAAATCACGATAAAAATGTGTTAAATTAAATAAAATTTTGTACAATAATAGAAAAATGTATATAATAGTAAAATTATTTAATAAAAGTAAAAACATTAAAAATGGTACAAAAATACATAAAATATTGTATAAATGTGTAAAATTAAATTGAATCGAGCAAAATAAGTTAAAAACGAGTCAGTAAGATGAAAATAAGTAAAATTAAGGAGATAAAAATGTGCAAAATGAAATAAAATTATATGAAATTTCATAAAAACGTGTGAAATTAAGTAAACAGTATAAAAAACAAATTATGGTAAAAATATATAAAATGAGATGATATTATGTAAAATAAGGTATAAGTGCTTAAAATTTAAGAAAATTGTATACAATACCAATAATATACAGTAAAAAAATTAAAATGATGTAAATCACAATAAAAATGTGTTTACTTAAATAAAATTGTGTACAATAATTTAAAAATGCATAAAACACTAAAATTATTTAATAAATGTAAAAACAATAAAAATGGGGGAAAAAATGTAAAATATTGTATAAAAGTGTAAAATTAAATTGAATCGAGCAAAATAAGGTAAAACGAATAAGTAAGATGAAAATAAGTAAAATAAAAAGATAAAAATGTGCAAAATCCAATAAAATTATATGAAACTTTATAAAAACGTGTGAAATTAAGTAAACAGTATAAAAAAACAGTCCAAATTATGGTAAAAACATATAAAATGCGATGATATTATGTAAAATAAGGTATAATAGCTTAAAATTTAGTAAAATTTTATACAGTACCAATAATATACGGTAAAAAATTTAAAATGATGTAAATCACGGTAAAAATGTGTTTACTTAAATAAAATTAAGTAATAATTTTTACATTATTAACAATAATGTAAAAATGCATAAAACAGTAAAATTATTTAATAAGAGAAAAAAACAATAAAAATGGGGAAAAATATGTAAAATATTGTATAAAACTGTAAAATTAAATTGAATCAAGCAAAATAAGGTAAAAACGAATAAGTAAGATGAAAATAAGTAAAATTAAAAAATTAAGAATAAAGTAAAAATGTGCAGAATGAAGTAAAATTGTGCAAAATAAAGTAAAATTATATGGAATTTTATAAAAACGTGTCAAATGAGGCAAAAATTAATAAAATCGTACAAATTGTAAACAATGAAGGAAAAAGCGAGGTAAAATCATGGTAAAACTAGTGGTGTATGGCATCGTGCCTTAAGGCAAATTGCTGGAACTTACCTTAACTCGAACATTTCGTACCTTAACGAAATGTTCGAGGAATATTAAATGTTTTCAAATAGATTTTTATAAATATTGTAACATTGTGTAATATTTATAAGAGTTATATAAACAGAATTGCAAGGTTGAAATTATTTGTTTAAAGTATATTAGAACGTTAGTCAGAATTAAAATTAAAATCTGAATTATTTTCGAAATACAAAAAAAATTTGAAACATTTTTTTTTCCAAAAGCAATTATTTTGTTAAAGCAAGCAGAAAGTTCTTTGAATCATTCAAATCGGACACTTAGTTCTTTCAAAAACCGCCATTTTTTGCACATTTAGCTCTGTATTTTCCAAGTAGCTAGACCTGCCTTTGCCAAAAACTAATCACCTATTCTCCCATTAATTACAAATTCAATGTTTTTTAGATCGTTCAAATCGGATACTCCGTTCTCTCAAAATCTCGATTTGTCATTTCTGTACTCTTTGCTCCGTATCTTCGTAACGACTGGACCTGCCTTTGCCAAAAACTAATCAGCTCATCTCCCTATCAATAGGAATCGAATGCTTTTTGAACCATTCAAATCGGTTGATCCGTGCGCCCGAAAACGTGACTGAAAATTTGTATCCATACATACATACACACATACATTTTTTCTGAGGTATGCCAAAATGTTCAGAAACCTTCAAAACGTCGAGAAATGCAAAAAAATTTAATTTCGATTTTCGGCCCATTAAATAACTTACCCTACGGGAAGTTAATTATGCAAAATTTTATAGAACATGGTGAAATGAAATTAAATAATAATGTGGAATAGTGTAAAAATTGTATAAAATAGTGACAAAACTATTATACAGATGTATGTCTTTTTTCGATAACAAATAATAAACTTGATAATTTTTTAAAATAAAACATGTAAAACTATGTAAAATTGTTTAAATAAGACAAAACACTGTACAATTATTAAAACATATTTGAAACCAAAAAAAAAATCTTGTAAAATGGTAAACAAGGTAACATTTTCTATAAAATAAGTCATGAATGTATTAAATGAATTATGTAAAATTATGCAAAATTGTATAAAATATAGTGCAATGAAATTAAATAGTAATGTGGAATAGTGTAAAAATTGTATGAAATAGTGAAAAAAACTATTATACAGATGTATGTCTTATTTCGATGATTGTTTGAAATAAAAATTCATGCGGCAAAGAAAATTTTAAACTTGTACTCTACAAAAAGTTAGTGCCTTGCTTAATAAGCTATATATCTATCACCCTTACCTAAAAATTCCGTCAAAGACACCCTCATCCTAAAATTGGTCATAAACAAGCTATAGGCTGCCAATTTCTCATCCTCTATAGCAACACTGTACAATCCATTAAAAGTATTCGGCAGCACATACAACCCCATCCAGTGCATGTACTCCTTCCTTGCAGTAAAGCCTTCCATCAAAGTCTCTACACGTTTATATACAATTTTGTATTCATCTAAAGGAGGCACTGTGATTTCAAGATTGTATTTCTGGAAACCAGTTTGACGGAGTTCAATCTCTGCCAGCTTTCTACGATAATCCAACTAGAAAAGGTAATAGATAAATGTTAAATGTATTGTTTATATCTATTTTATCTTTAACTTACTCTTAGTTCCGTTAACATTTGCTGCTGAGACTCTCTCTCCGCCATTGAAGCATTTCTACGAGACGACAGTCTCTCGACCTTCTCCATAAGTTTCTTATCAGGGTCCATGACTCCTGCTAAATTCATGCAATCGACATACAACTGAAATTTCAGTTCCCTCTGAGCACTGTTTCGAGAGGCTACAGCATCTCGTAAACGTTCTGCAAAGATTTTAGGGTTCTCGGCTTTGAACAAGACATAAACTCGAGGTACTCTATAAATTTGCTTTTCCTTGTCCAGTGTGATTACTGCCCAACGTTGGGTCTGGGGATCAAAGTCACCAACTGCCACACTGGGGGGAGGAAATAGAAGATTAGTGATAAAAGACAGAGAAAGGTTAAATAAATATTTGGTAATAAACAATTGTGGTAATAAACAACAGTGGAAAAATATGCAAAAAAGTGAAAAATTGTTTATATTTTTTAACAAAATTGATAAAAATTAATCACAATAACGGTAAGTTTTCAACAAGGCTTCAGTTTGCACTTAAAGACTCATAAATTTTGAACTGCATGAGATAATTTTCTTTCAATGAAAAAATTAGACACCAATAGCATGCTTCTCTGAATCGATTTGGAGTTTAACTCAAGCAGACACCCATTAATTTTACTTTTATTATTATCCCACCTGGTCCATTTGTAAAGCATATCCGGATCGGCGTTCCTGTAGGCCTTCTGTCGCGCCTCGTAGAGCCCCCTGACAGGTATAAAGGCGTTCGCTGGCAGTGTGTGCTTGATGTCCTTAACAGTGCTCTTCTTGAGCCACTTCTCCACTGTCATGCACTCGAAGTCCTCATTGTCGAACAGCTCCAGGGGGAGGACATTGAATTCGTGACCTTGTAAAAGAAACAAACTTATTTAAATATTGATGAATGAATCTGAGTATTGTTATAATTAGATTATTAAATATAATTCTGATTCTTAAGTACGCTAAAAACATACTCATGTCCTTCAAAATGTTATGATAAGTATAATAGCAAATCTCGATGATTTGTCTTATATTGCAACATAAAATTGCATAAAGTTATATAAAATGCCTGAAAATAACAGGTACTCATATTATGCAAAGTATAACTAATATTATCTTGATATTGGTTCAATTTGAAAGTTAGTTTTAGCTGTTGGCAGTATCAATAGTTTAAATAAGTGCTGGCATAAACACCACATCAGTTATAGCTTTTAGACACTTTCAAAACCACCAACACATTGTGAGGCTATCAACATCTAGAAAATATGCTTTACAAAATAAAATAGGTGCACCATAGAATACCCATTAAACACTGAGCAGCGTTAGCAATCTGAAATCCACATAGATTCCACATGGGTGTTACAGAGCTGAAGGCACGCTTGTGGATTTTAAATCACCCCCGCCGCTCAAATCACACGGTGTTTACTGTGTATTTAATTAACATATATTAATATATATTTAAGGGATGTTCTGTTACTTTGAAAGACCAGTAAAGCCCCATCAATCCTTTACCCTTACCAATTGCATATTTCTGGTAAGCACTCAAGAACCGGTGCATCTCCTCTGGTGGAAGTATCTGCCAAGGGGTGATCTCGGCCTCGAACATGATCGTCTCTATCGGCAGACTCTTGTACTCTCTGCGCTTCCTCTCGATCAGGACGTTCCTGGGCAGAGATTTTGCCGGAAGCGACTTCTCGCAGTACACTTCGGGCTTTTCCGTCTCTAATGGAAACAGGATCTCGTTGTCCTCGCCGTACATGATCCATTTCTCAGCCGGAGAGAGGACGTTCTTGGCCTCCAGGTATTTTAGACGGGTCAGCTCGCCGATGTGGCGATGCTTTTTAACCTGGAGGAGAGGACAGATAAGGTAATGGATGGAATTATGGATAAAATTGTATAGATGATAGATAACGGGTTGATGGGATTGGTTTTAGGTTCTAGCTGACCCGGCAAACGTTATTTTGCTAAGTAAGGTATATTCTAAACAATTTCTAGAGAATCAAAAATATTAATACTTTAAGTGTATGAGGATGTGTTGTTTGAATGCTATATACAATGAAGTATTATAAAAACAATAAACCCCATTAGTTTGTCTATATTTTGTCAATACAATCAAACTGGAAGATTTATACACTTTTTATTCAAGTCTTTTTTGGTCTTTTGACTTATTGATTGCGTTTCAAGTTTTTCAGATTCTTTCTGGATTCTGGATTTTGTGTATAATTGTAAAAAATACTACAGAGCTTATACAAATTTTTGCGAGGAGAGATAAAAAATGAATTAAGTATTTCTTCTTTGAACTGCTTTTTGAAAAGTCTCAAGTAACATTCGATGAAATAACTTTTATTATGGATTTTCAAAGTGCTCTAAGTTCTCTACTCTCTCTATATTCTAGTCAAGATTTTCTATTGGCAAGTAGCACTTTTAGCTAATATAAAGCAACAGAATTCAAAGTGAATCTTAAGAAGAATCTTACAAAGCAACATAATCTTATCTAAATCTTAATAATATAAAATTAGTATTCAACTCTTTGAATAATACTCAACTACATCTCATATGCATAAAACTGTAACAGAATTACTTATTGGCAAGTTGCTGCATTTAGTAAATGCTGACACTTGTAATTATCTTGAATTGAAATATTATGTCTTTATATTAAATTGAAATAAATACTAAATTGGTGTTCTTCTCTTTGAATACTAATCACTTGCAAATAACTGTAGTACAATTACCCATTTGCAAGTTGCACAAATTCTAATTATCTTGAATTAAAATATTATGTTTCGTATAATTCTTAAACCATTTGACAAATGCAAATGATGTATTGGCAAATTTGTTCAAAATTAAATTCTTAACAATACACTCTAATATTGCAATTTCCTAAAGCAACTCTATATGCTCTAAAATTTAAATAAAATATGAAAAATAATCAACAAGAATCAATTAGACCACATATATTGATTTTATTCTTACCTGCCAAGTGTACTGCCTTTTCTTTGGACTAATCGGACAAGCAGTTTCATCGGTAACATTTCTATGAATATAATGTGTGTGCTCTGAGAAATATCCTCGATTAGCCATCTTGCCACAAAATACTAAATTTTAACAACTTGATCTTGAAATAAAAAACTCATTGATTAAATATCTACATATATAACTCATTTGTTAAGTTTGCAAAACTATTTGTATATATAATAATGAAATAAAAATATTTTAATTTGGCACTAGTTTTGTCAAAATGACATTAAAAACTTATTTATATGATTTGGTTTTTAATCAAAAATTGTGTGGAGATAAAATTAAATTGATAATGCTTAGATAATTCAATATACTTAGATAATATTACTTACTTGTTAGAGTTCTATCAAATCTTAGGATTATTCTTGATTTTTTGTACACTACCACTAGTTTCTTCACTTTTTCATTTATATATATATATATATATATATATATATATATATATATATATATATATATACAATTCAAAAAATTTAAACCAATAAGTTACATATTTCAAGGACTTTGTGCTAAAAGTTGTCTTTTCTTTATCCATTTTCGAAAAGTTGTCTTATCTTTATCCACTATAAATGCTATTATCATAATAGAATTTAACCCAGAAATAGAATAGAATTTTACCCATGTGCATCAGACAAAACTCTAAATCATGTTCCTTTACCTTATTGTATCATCTCTTCCTCTCAAATACTGCCTGACAGGCTCCGTAATAGTTTCCAGCAAGACTCCACTCGGGTCCAAATGTCTCAAAGCCTTTATTGCAGATATATAAGCCGTCAGAATATCTGGGGTGTTGGCACCTGGATGTAGCAGTCTGGTCTGCAAAGCATTTTGCAGAGTTGATACTAATTTGGGACGTAATTCTGTTTTGGGGAGACACTGTTTGAGGTCTTCAATTGCTGGCTGGGATTCAGGATACTCTAGAAAAAATAGATAGATAGATAGATAATACAATTAATATTTTTATCACAATATTATAATATAACTAAAATAATATCAATTACATTCATGAACAACTCTAGGTTTAACCTAATGATAATTACTAATAAACTTCATTAATTCATTAATTGTAATAAAGATAGGTTAATCTATAAGATTTTATATTAAATATATATATATATATATATATATATATTATTTATTTTATTACCTATAATAATGTTAAACAACTGTTCAATCCTGGTAAGTGTGTAAGTTTCATACAAAAAGTGTCCTAGTTTTCTTTTAAATCTCTCTATAGCCTTTGCAATTTTAAGATTGTTTCGTGGAATTTCTGCAGAGCCTCCACAGTAAATTTTAATTAACCAGTTTACAACTATACAATCTAACCACTAAAAAAAAAACTATGTAATTAATAAAAAAATAGATAAGTGCATCAAATCTATTCAATATAAAGCAATGAATTATATATATTTATTATCATTATTATTGTTCAAATAATTTTTGTATAAATAGCTGATTCTTTGATACAAAACTTTCAATATTAAATATCTTCTATTATTACCTCTTCTAAAGGTTTAATATGTGACAAGTCAAAACTGCCTTTAGTAGTGTTTTTAACATGTAAATTTATTCTATCCTGAATAAGACTTGTAATGACTTGTCCTGCTAACTTTTCAAGAAGCCCCATCGACATCAGACAGCTGTTTACATAATGAAAGTTCATAACAATAGTAGAACAGGCACATGAATCTGTCTCCATGGAACATCCTGGACATGTTATATCGTCTAGGGAGTCTTCAGCATCTAAGAGGAATAGAAATATAAATATATATATGTATACATATATGCATTTAATTTATAATCACCTGTGTCGCAGTTTGCAAACACCTTGAAAGCCTTATCATAAAAATCATGTACCACAACTTCATAATCAAGAACTTTCTGCGAAAACAGTGTAGCTCTTAAAATAACTAAAAAAGCCTCCAAAGTATCACTTTCTCCATAAATTAACTGCACAGAATCACAAGACTTCCTCATATAATCCAGTCTTTGTAACTGTGGTTGAAAACTTTTAACAAAATCATAAAGATATGTAACAGAGTCTTGAAAGTTGTTGGATGTATTCTGTGCATTGTTTTGTATTTGGAATTTACTCCAAAACAAGGGGGCTACTTGTTGTCTTATGTAGGTTTCTATTTGTGTAAATATGTGTTGGATGAATATTTGGTCTATTTTTAAGTTGCGAAGTTCCTGTACTGAATTTATGAAGTTGTCTTCTGTTATGGATTCAGGAGATCGCTGTAAAAGAAATTCTATTCAATTACAAAGACTACATTAAATAAACTATTAGTAATATTATAAGGACTAATTTTATTACCTTTTCATTTAAAATAGGAAAAGCTGCACAAAACGTTTTCCACAATTTATCAGTCATTTTTATATATAACTATTTTTGTTCTTCTAACATTACCGGTACATAACCTATAAATAAAAAACTTCACAATCTTTCTATATAAAATTTGCTGAAACGTAAATATAACAAATTAAAACTACCTAAACATTAAATAATATATTAAACATATTTATATATGTTTAATATATTATAAAACATCATTTTTTTATTTGAATTCATTAGAACAGTAGTAAACTTTCTTTCGCAAACTGACAGAACTGGTGTTGTGGTTCCAAAAGTTGTCAAAAATGAAATAATATTTCAAAATATTCTTATGTTGGCAACAGTGACATTGGAGCACCGCCATATTCAGTTCGTTTACCGAAGTTCATTCAACTGTCAAACTGTCAAACAAATTATTGAATGGACTGATGAAACATGTAATTTTTTATTTATTTAATTATTCAACATAATTATTAATTAAATGTTATAATAAATATATTATATAAATACATAAGTATAATTATTAGTGTGTATTAAAAGGCAGTGTTTGTGAGATTGATTGATAAACATAAAGGTAGTGTAAAATACTTTGAGGTTATTTCTCATGATTAAATTTTTTTATATTTATTTCATACAGAAAGAACTATAAATATTAAGGGATAATCAAAGCTCAATTGTACCTTTTTATATTTCAGCTTTGCAATAAGCCAAAAGTGTGTAACAAATAGTTTCACATCTGTTAAATAGATTTGAGGAAGGATTCATCTTGGCGACATACATTGTCCAAAACTGACTTCAGTTAATTTAATGTAAGATTAGATTTAAAGATAAAACTAGCTTTAGAAATAAACCCAACCATTGAGAAAGCTTTGAGATTGATTTACTCCTGAGAAATATTACAACTGGATAAATGCATTGCCTTTCTAAAACACTCCATTCTCAAACCGTCAATATCTAGTTAAATTATCATATTCAGCAATAGCTCATTAAATAGTAATCAACTATTTTTGTCAATACTTACAGAACATACACATTGCACAAATATCTCAAAATGTCAGAGGCAGCTGATGATACGATAATTAAAATTGAACCACAAGAATATCCAATCGAAGACATCAAAGAGGAAATTGAAAAAGACCCTGAATCCTGTTCAGAGGATGAAGAAACATGCCAGAAGAGGTTTACAGATTCCATAGTAAAAATAGAAGATGCCCAACAGGAATTATTTCAGGCGCCTCCTTATAAATGTGACAAGTATGATAGGACATTTACAGGGATGTACAATTTAAAACAGCATATGTTAGTGCATGAACATGAATGTAAATTTTGTTCAAAGACTTTTCCAGAAGCAAGTGCATTAGAAGTGCATCTCAAATCTCATACAGATGAAAAACATTTCAAATGTACAGAGTGTGATAATGCATTTACTACAAAATATCATTTAGATCAACACATATGTGCTCATGCCACAGAACAAACTTCACACTTGAACGAATCTGGTAATCAAAAACAAAAAATTCATGCTGATACTGCAAAGAGACCTTATAAATGTCAACTATGTGATAAAGCATTCATAAGATCGAGTCATTTGAATCGTCATATGCTCATTCACACTGGGGAACGCCCTAATAAATGTGAAATATGTGATAAGACATTCAAACGATTGGATGATTTGAGTAGACATATGCTCAGTCACACTGGTGAACGAGCTCATATTTGTAGAATATGTGATAAGAAGTTTATACATTTGTGTAATTTGAATCAACATATGCTCATTCATAGAGGGGAACGCTCTACTAAATGTACAATATGTGATAAGACATTCTTAAGATTGGATAGTTTGAAAAGACATATGCTCGTTCACACTGGTGAACGCTCTAATAAATGTACAATATGTGATAAGACATTCTCACAATCAAGTGGCTTGAATCAACACATGCTAACTCACACTGCGGAACGTCCTCATGAATGTGAAATATGTGATAAGACATTCATTCGTTTGAGTAATTTGAATCGACATATGCTCATTCACACTGGGGAACGTCTTAATAAATGTACAATATGTGATAAGGCATTTGCACAATTGAGTGGCTTGAATAGACATATGCTCATTCACACTGAGGAACGTCCTAACAAATGTACAATATGTGATAAGACATTCAAACGATTGGATGATTTGAGTAGACATATGCTCACTCACACTGGTGAACGAGATCATATTTGTAAAATATGTAGTAAGAAGTTCATACATTTGTGTCATTTGAATCAACATATGCTCATTCACACTGGGGACCGCCCAAATAAATGTACAATATGTGATAAGGCATTTGCACAATCGAGTGTCTTGAAAAGACATATGCTCATTCACACTGGGGAACGCCCAAATAAATGTACAATATGTGATAAGGCATTTGCACAATCGAGTGTCTTGAAAAGACATATGCTCATTCACAGTAGGCAAAATATGTGATAAGAAATTCACAGATCCAAGTGTCTTGAATAAACATATGCAAATTCCAATTGGTGTCCGTCCACACAAATGTAAGATATGCAAGAAGGCATTCATATATTGATATAGCTTGACAGGACAAATGTTGATTCACAGTGGGATAATTATAAGTATTCAATAATGGATTTACATAATCAGGAACTGATACATGACTGCTGATAGAAACTAGTGGTGTATGGCATTGTGCCTTAAGGCAAATTGCTGGAACATTCCGTACCGTAACGAAATGATCGAGGAATATTAAATGTTTTCAAATAGATTATTATAAATATTGTAGCATTGTCTAATATTTATAAGAAATATATAAGCTGAAATTATTTGTTTAAAGTATATTAGAACTTTAGTTTTAATTAAAATTAAAATCTCAACAAAGTTTCAACAAAACTTTTTTTCCAGAAGCAATTATTTTGTTAAAACAAGCAGAAAGTTTTTTGAATCATTCAAATCGGACGCTTAGTTCTCTCCAAACTGTTATTTTTTTAATATCTACCTCTGTATCTTCGAAATGGCTGAACCTGCCTTTGCCAAAAACTAATCACCTCTTCTCCCAATCATTGCAAATTTAATGTTTTTTGGATCAATCGGATACTCCATTCTCTTGAAAACTCGATTTGTATTTTCTGCACTTTTTGCTACGTATCTCCCTAACGGCTCGACCTGCCTTTGCCAAAAACTAATCAGCACATCTCCCTATCAATAGGAATCGAATGTTTTTTGAACACACATACACATACATCCATTTTTTCTGAGGTATGCCAAAATGTTCTGAAACTTTCAAAACGTTAAGATATGCAAAAATTTTCATTTTCGATTTTCGGCCCATTACTATAACTAAAATAATATGACGAAAATAATTATTTGTTCTTGATTATTATCAAATTTTACTATCTTTAAAAATAAATATTTGTTGATTAAATAATTATTATTTAATTTTAAGCAATAATTCATATTTATGTTACACACATGTTGAGAAACACTGGTATATTTTTGAAGCTAACTTCACATCGTTAATCTGTCATGTCTTCTTAAATGTCAAACAGAAATATATTTTTGTGTAAATAATTTTATATATACAAATATTTAAATATAAATATATTTATTTATTAATTGGAAAGTAGAATTAAACTTATTTTGATTTAGAAAATATATTTTAGTGATTGTGAAAGTGTTTTCATATCTTTAACATATATGCCACAATGGATTTTGGTAAATATATATATGTAAAATATCTTTAGTAATAGTTTATTAATTAAAATTATATATACATATTTATTTTTGTATTAAAATTTTTACCAGAGTCTTCGAATTTGAGCTTATTAACTTAATAAGTTTCAATAAAGTTTTAAAATCAGATATACACTGAATTTTATCACAATTATTTACAACTAGTTTATTTATGGTTTATATATTGGCTAATTATTGTAAAAATGTCTGAAGCAAAGAAGTATTAATGCTTTCTTATTAAATTTCATTGTTATTTTACACCAATGATTTTATTTATTCTCACAATTAAATTCATTAGATTAATTTCATTCAAGAGCTTTTGATTTACGATACACAAATATTTTTACAGGTAGAAGTGTTTTCAACAGCAGCAACCAAGTAAGTAAAATCTATTTAAGTATAAAATTACAAATAAAATATATTTGCAATACTTTTTTACGATTAAACAACTAAATTTACAAATGCAATTTTATAATGAAAACTTTGAAAATGTAACATAAAAAAGAATTATCAATATCTTATATTAGTTGATTTATCCATGTGGTATCTATTAACTTACACAATTTATAAAAAAAAACGTTTTTTATATCTTATTTCCATCAAATATTATTTATTATTATTTTTTAGACAGATGATACCCCAGCAGCGATTAGCAAAGCTGTGGCATGCCTTCCAGCTGGCCAAATGTTCGAATTGATGATTCAAATGAAAGGTTGCATCCAAAACAATGCCACCGAAGCAAGGACCATGCTTGCTAAAAATCCACAATTGACATACGCTTTGCTTCATGCACAGATATTATTGAACATCGTGGACCCTAAGGACTTCTTGGTAAATAGAGAAGAATCTTTGCTAATTCATCAAACCTCCAAATTTCAATTTTTCTGTACAATTATTACTTAAAATATTTCTTTTATCTAGGCAACAATGACAGCCCCTGCTCCACCAACTCCTGCAACAGTCCCTGCTCCCTCAATATCAATGCCACAGGCAACAATAAAAGCAGAACCTGGTTTAACACAACAACAACCAACTGCTCCAACCCCTAACATAATACCCCAACCAGTTCCAGCCCCTGTAATGATTCCTGGTCTTGGTGGCAATGCGCCTCCTAGACCTGTGGCTGCACCTCAGCCTGTCCCTGCACCTACAATGGTGCCCCAACCTAGCATAGTACCACCTCCTCAAATAGTTCCTCAACCTAGTATTGTTCAGAAACAACCAGTAGTGTTCCCGAAACAACCAATGATGGTTCCAAATCAACAACCAACCATGGTTACGAACCAACAACCGCCAATGATGGTTGCTAAACAGCAGCAGCCGATGGGTGGTATTAAATTGCCACAGGCACAGCCTGCAGTGAGGGAGCAGCCTAGTGCAGTGGCTGCACCACAGACCAACATTTATAGCGGTAAGGGTAATGGAATTATAATTAATTTAGTTCTTTATTTATAACAAAGTCTTAATAGCACTTTTTCAATTGGTACTGTTTTATACAATTGTTATTAACATTCCAAAGGATGTTAGAAGTCATTCTGAATCGTTTGCCATCAAAGTTATAACCTCTATAGATAAAGTATATGGTATTTTTTCCAGAAGATGCAATTCATTTTAAAATTAGCAAGTACCGGTACTTGCTTTTTACAACATTGTTATTAACATTCTGAAAGACCTTTCAAGTCATTCTCAATCATTTGACACCGAATTTGGATAAAGTATGTATGTCTGTGCTTGCACCATAAAATCCTATTTGCTAATTTAATAAATAAATTCATTTATTCGGGTTTTATAATATTATCTATAATTAATTTTTGTCTTTGTGAGTGCATTTTTGACTACGTATCTTTTAAATAGATAATTGTGGTCTTAGAAAGATAAAAACTAGATAAAACGATTTACAACATGATAGCCCATTATTATAATATAAATATTAAATGAATTTAAATTTAAAATATCAATGTCGATAATGAGGCTACAATTTTCTAATTTTTATTATGTATATAGAGCTTGTAAAGATGAAAACTAGATAAAACTATCTACAACACGATAAAGTTTTTTCTCTATAAAGTTTTTACTATATTATTATTGTTAATTAATTAAACTGCAATCAATCAGTGTCCCATGTTAATATAGGTGCATTTTTTTAGTTTTTATTATGCATGTTTCAAATAGATAACGTTATCTTAGAAAGATGAAAACTAGTTAAAATTATCTACAACTTGATGCCAAACATATTTATCTATAAATTTATTATTCTATTATTATTAATTAATTAAACTTCAACGTCTCATGTTGATACAAAAAATGTAGGTGCATTTTTTTAGTTTTTATTATGCATCTTTTAAATAGATAAAAATAGATGAACATTATCTTAGTAAGATGAAAACTAGTTAAAATTATCTACAACATGATGCCAAACATATCTATGTATAAGGTTTTATTGCAATATTAGTTGATGAAAAAAAAATATAGGTGCAATTTTTTTAGTTTTTGTTATGCATCTTTTGAATTAATAAAAATAGATAAACGTTATCTTAGAAAGATGAAAAAACTAGTTAAAATTATCAATAACACGATGCCAAATATATTTATCTATAAAGTTTTATCGCAATATTAATAATTAAAGAAACTCAGTTTAATATCATTGTCACATGTTGATACAAAAAATGTAGGTGCAATTTTTTAGTTTATGTTATCTTAGAAAGATGAAAACAAGTTAAAATTATCTACAACATGATGCCAAACATATTTATCTCTAAAGTTTTATTGCAATATTGATAATTGATTAAACTTCAATTTATAATTTTAGTGTCCCTTGTTGATATGAAAAATGTAGATGAAATTTTTCATCTTTTATTGTCCATCTTTTAAATAGATAAACTTATTATTAGATGAACGTTGTCTTATATTATATTTAGAAAGATGAAAACTAGTCAAAATTATCTACAACACGATGTCAAACATCTTTATCTATAAAGTTTTTATTCTATTAATTAAATATTTGCTAAATATCAGTCCCTTTTGATTTAATTATCATTCACACATATTCAGATGTCCAATGCCCTTGCCTTAAGGCAACATGCCACTTACATCTAGTTTATTTTTTGATTAAAGATTAAAATGCATTATACGTTTTAATAAACTTTATTATCAAACCACCAACCAGTACATTTACATTTAATAACAAATTGAAAACTTCTTGTCCCACAAATAGCACCAGAAATGAAACCAGGATTTAAATTAATTAATATCGTGATCACCAAATTGTGTGTCAAATTCCCTCTTAAATTCATTTCTATTATGTAATAAATAAGATATAAATATTTCAGATACAGATTTTCGTGCATCAGATCCAAGAATGTTGCGTAGCAACCAGCCTAGTGGTGACCAGGATATGAGAAGTATGTTAGCAAGACCGACACCAACAGAAAGGTTAGTTATTCAATCAATTCGATACAATTCTAAAATACCAATAAATAAAATTCATTAACAATATTCTGGTTTGTAGTACTGCTGCACCAAGTGATCCTAGATCTCGTCCTCCTGAAGTTGCCAGGAATGATCCACGATTAGCTAGAGGTAAGGGGGAAAAAATTATATGAAATATATATTGGGGTGGTCCTTAGTATGGATGTTTTTGAATTTCTCTGCTCTCAGGGGCTCAAATGCTTCCAAATTGATAACCAAAATAGTAGTAGAAATTGCTATTCTGAATATATTAAGATTTAGATGTTTCATGGGTAGTACTGCCTGGTATGGAAAGGGTCATGAGTTTTACCCCTTGCACTGGATATATCCTGATATCATGCAGTAGTGATATCAATTTTCACCTAAAAATATAAATCAAAAATATGTTTCAAGTAAAATAGACTTTTTGGGCACTGCAGTGTAAAATGGCAATGGGAAATCTCCCATGCTATTTTTCCCTGAATCGAGTTGGAGTTTATCTCAGCTCCTGGACCAGCCCTAGGGCAGTACTACCCATTATTATTATTATTATTATATACTTGTTCATTTTTAAAGGTATCATGCCAACAAGACCTCCTCCAACATCTATGGCACCACCTAGACCAGCTCCTGCTTCAAACGCTCCAACAACTGATCAGGACAAGGTAATAATGTTTATTATTATTTATATTAAAATAACTCCTCATTGTAAGAAAAATTATGCAAACAATATTCTTAACCCTTTCCACTCGCAAAATGCTGAATGCCGAAGCGGCGGCATTCGAGTGGAAAGGGTTAATATAGATAAAAACAATGATAGATCAAAATACTTACAAAAAGCGTATTTTTAAACTTTCTACTTACCCCTTTCACAGATATGTTTTTCCAATCTGGAATGTAGAAATCAATTAATGTTTAGCAATTGCATTTTTAATAAGGGGTCTCTTCTCGAATCATTTTATCTGTCTATTATCTCTATATTTCTTTTTATCTTTCCACAGACTGCCCTGATCATGCAAGTCCTACAATTATCTGACGAGCAAATAGCATTACTACCGCCTGATCAAAGGTCAAGTATTTTGCTTCTCAAGGAACAAATTGCACGCTCTACTCAGAGATGAAGACTTATATTGATTATCTTGTATGTTTCTCTAAATAAATATTGTATTTGATTATGTTCTTCTTTCCACTATTACCTATTTTGAGGCTACTTTCTAATATGTACTTTGGACAATTAAGTCCTACATCTTGTATCTATTATAGGAATAAATACCTATTATAGGACTTATACCTTCTAAATCTGAAAAGTTCTTCAAAAGATTAAGTCCTACTTCTTGTAGCGTAATAGATACATTTATTTGTTATTGTTTTTGCATGAATGTAGATGGCTATTACCTATTTGTGGCTACTTTCTAAATCTGAAGAGTCCTTCCTAAGTCCTACTTCTTGTAGCTACTACATGTAATAGATTTATGTTTATTCGTTATTGTTCTGGTGAATTCCTGCATTATTCTGGTGTAGACTCAATATATTTTAATAAGTATTTATATAGGCCTTTCTTAGAATGTTTATTTTCCTGTTTGCAGAAAACGTTTATATTTTAATTGGTTTATTGGCCAATATTGATAATTTGAAATTATGAAGTTTATGAGAACGAGGACACACAGATTTCTAATTCCTGCACTAAGATTTTTTGTTCTGATGTAAATTATCTAATTCTCACACATTCCTCATTCAAGCTGGAGTTTTAAATCAGCTCACAAATCTATCTTCAGACATTACTCCAAATTTTTATGAATCGAAATAGATTTTTTTCTGGATTGATTTTAGAGAACACCCCAACCTCACTTTGTGCCGTTTCATTAAACTTAATTCCTGCTAGTTTTTACTAACTTAAGTTTGCGTTTCATTTTGAAATTGGAGATTGGCATAAAGAAACTGCAAATCTTGTGTAACTAATTTTTAAATCTGAGTATCCTCCTAACTTGGCTACAATTTCAACTGGACATACAATTTTTAATGATGATTAAACAGAATGACTGTGATGATTAAACAGAAAAATATGAAAAACAAATTTCAACATAAATTGTGTATGATATAATTTTTTTTAAGAAAACAAACATGTAAGCAAAAGTGGTTTAAAGTGTCCTCACAAATATCAATTGCAACAAGAAAATTTAGTTAGTATTTAAAAAATAAAAGTTGTCCAGCAAACATTGTGACTTATCTTTGTAAAAACTGGGAAATTAATTTTGAGTTCCAATTAAGGAACACTTATGGAGATATGGATAACGAATTAGCTATTGATGTAAGTAATTCCTTTCCTAAAGTGTCAACAGCCAGTTGAACTTCTAACAATCTTTGAAATTGCTATTTAGGAATACATTTAACTTGTTGTACTCGTATAAGTTGATAATTCTAAATTGCAAAACCTATAGATTGTTCTTTATGTTTGAAAGCGCCGATTTATCAAAACTAAGTAAATTTGAATTACAATATAGTACATTGTTGCAATGAGCATTAAATAAAGAAGTTTATGCTGAGGCATCATTAAAGATCAACCTATTGTTTCAAGGGCAGACTCTAGTACATAAACATGTTAAAGGCAAATGAATTGCATTCATTATTAGTTTCTCTACGATGCATTTTCCAAAAACAGTATCAAAAACGAGGCCACAAGATAGAAGACCCCTTTAAGAATATCTATCAAATCGTAACGAACTTTTTTCTGAAGTTTAAAAACTAGTTTATACATTTGGAAATAGGAATAAAATAAATCCAATAATTCATTTCATATATAAGTTATTATAAGGCTTTCTTTAGTGTAAGATTTCATCTACTTGAAGAAAACTTTGCTATTTAGTACCTTACCTTGATAAAAAACTTCAATATTTAGTGCCTTAACCAGAAGAAAATAAATAATAAAAAAAATAGTCTGTTCTGACAGAAAAGCTAAAAAGCGAAGGTTTATTATTTGTGTGCAAAAGGCATTCTTTTCTGCACATTGAAAAGTGACTTAAAAAGTCTTCAAAACGTCTAAAATAAATCCAATAACTCATCATTTCCAATCCAGTAACTCATTTCATATATAAGTTATTATAAGGCTTTCCTTAGTGTAAGATTTCATCGACTTGATGGAAAACTTTACTATTTAGTACCTTGTCTTGATGGACAACTTGCATATTGTGTGTCTTAGCCAGAAATAAAAACAATAATAGAATAAATAGTCCGAGTCTGTTATAACAGAAGAGCTAGAAGCCAAAAAAAAGGCAACTGTTAAGATATTCTTTTCTCTCCATTGAAACTTGTTTTAAAAAGTATCACACACATACACAGTTCATTTAGCTTTAATTGAATTCATTTTTTTTTTTTAAATCTATGTGAGTAGATTTTACTGAAACAAAACTAAATTATTTTAGTTTTTTAAATCTATGTGAGTAAATTTTACTGAAACAAAACTAAATTATTTTAGTTTTTGAAATGTCTACTTCGTACCTTTCTTGTTTAAAAAAAAGCAATACTTTTATCCTGAGACCTACCTACTAACTTAATTCCTTTGCAACATTTAAATTTGCTTCACCTTTTTTGTTCGGGAACCTACAAACGACGCAAAATGAGGCATGGGTGTTCCAGAATTGATCTACTACAGCCTTTCGATAATTAAAATTTAGATAAAATTCTGAGACTACATATCTAAATTATAATTATAGATGCTTCTGCTTTACATTATCAATTTTTTTAAGCAGTTTCTTGTATTAAAAAAAAAAAAAAAACGAAAATAAATTCCGCAAAAACCTTAAAAGACATTATAATTAAACTATTTTTTAATAAATTTGTAATAAACTGTAATTATTAAAAATGATTTTATTATGTGATTATTAAAATACGTTGAAAAAAATGTAACTAACTACATTACCTCAAAAAAAAAAACCTTGTCAATAAAATATTTAATCCCCTAGCTTTAATCTAATGGTTTTATTATATATTTTATTATTTATCTATCATTTGTCCCTTAAACCTAAATAATTTTATAACTAACATAACTAATAAGAAGCCTTTTATTATCGGGTCAAGTTGTTTTATTATATAATGTAATTAGTCTTATCCAATGTAAAATACAAAAAAAACATGACCTCTCTTCTTACACGGTTACAAGTAAAACGGAACTTACACTAAACACTTGTCAATACCTAAATATATATATTGTAAGTAAAACATATAATTACTCTAATTCCTATAGTAATATAATATTTATAAATTATTATTATAATTAAATTTTACGTCAGTTTTGCAATCATTCAACTCCTATGTATGTATTAATCCAACGACCGGCAGAAATTAACTCCTGATTTTCGTTTCGACTATTTTCTACCCCTAACTGTTGAAACCTATAAACCAATAGAAAAATATATCATTAGATTGACTCTAGGGCTTCATTTTTAGCCTAGCCTCTTTGTTTTTGTTTTGTTTACCATGCTAAAAAGTCACTAACGACCTGACTCAATCGAGAAAACACATTTTTAGCAAGGTACGGGCCAAAACTACGACAACACCTATTAATAATTAACTAGTACAGATAAGTGCTTAAATTTTTAGGCGTTAATTTTGTTTACTGAAGGTTTTTAAAAGCCTATATAAAGATTTTTTTTAGTCACCTACATGCCTGAACAAAAAATAGAAGAAATCAAAGATGCTGAAAAAAAAATTAAAGAAATGTTGTGCATTAATTTAGAAAAAGCAAGCTGAAATATCAACATAGATGAAATTAATGGTGATAGATACTGAGGATGAAAAAGTAAGAATCCTCAATATCTATCTAGAACAAATAAAATGTTGCACACTTGTGGATCAAAATAATTAGACAATGGCATATTTTCTGCAGATTCATTTTAGTAATATAAAAGTTATTAACTATTAATGATGTTAAAGCAATTTAATAAAAAAAATATATATATGCAGTTAGATGCAAAACTGTCCCACCACTTAAGGAGGTTGTTCTTTTTTTGTTACAAAAAATGCAAGATATTTGTTTTTGTTTTTCTCGAAATGTATTTATCATAGAGACATGCGGTTTTTTTTAAACAAAAATTACAAAGTCATAGGATATTACGCGATTTTCTTCTTTTTTTTTGCGCCGTCATTTTCTAATCAGGGGGCGCCAAAGTCGGTCTTGCAAAATCGATCTCTTTTGCGGTGCCACAGATAAATCTGTTGCGCATCGCCCGAAACAAAAAAAAAAGAAACTACGTTGAAGAAGAAGTTTGAATCCAGTCCCCCTACCAAAATGAAAGAAAAAAAGCAAGAAGGAAAAAAATGGCAGCTATTTAAAAAAAAGTGTCAAAAAAGGCCTTTTTTGGGGCGAGAAGCTTCGTAAATTTTTTTTTGCGTAATGTTATCAAGTTGTTTGAGGAGGGGGACTAGTTATTACAGTGGTGAACAAATTAAAAAAAAATGCAAGTCGATCCGACTTGTAGTTTTTTTTTTAATTTGTGGCACCGCATTGAAAAAACTCAATTTGAGAAAAACGTATTTAAAGTTTTTAATATAATGTACTAAATACACCATTTAATTTAATGTACTAAATGCTGACACATTAAAAAGGTCATGTGCATGAGGTATTATAATGAAAAAGAGGCAGCTGGCATACAATAGCTCGCGGAGCGATAAAAAAACACTTTCAGAGGATCATACATATAGAGATAAATATATCTATAACTTCGTCAAAAAAATAGATATTGAGATGTTTTTTTTTTACAATAATTCTAAGGTTTTTAGCTTTCATAATATCAAAAAATCTCAAAACCGAAACAAAGAAAAATAAAAAAAGGAACAACCCCCTTAAAAAATCAAATAGACTCTGCACTAAATATCAAAATATGAGAGAAATCTTATTTTTCTCAAATGGTGCAAAAGTAATCAAAAATACAAAACAAACATAATTCAATTTACATATTTTTACTTTGTTGTATATCTACTTTGTAAAATATAATTAATTAAAATTAGAATTCTAGTTTTTTTCTTTAATGAGAAGTTAAAATTTTTCATATAATTGGAAAAGTTTTGCACCTAACTGCATTATTATCACATTTTGATCACAAATATGCAACAATATATCTTCCTCTACAAACCTAGTCATTAATATGATCTCTGTGGGTATCCACCGCCGCCTCCCATATTGTTCCCTCTGTATCCACCACCGCCTCCTTGATTGCCTCCGCCATAGCTCTGGTATCCACCACCACCTCCGCCCATATTATTGCCACCTTGCCCGTAACCACCAGAGTTACCATAGGGCTGAGCTCGGTTTGAAGGGAAGTTGTTACGGACTGGACCACCTCCATAACCTTGTTGGTAGTTGCCACCCATATTGTTGTTTGGCCCATTGTTGGGACCTTGTTGCCAAGGTTGTTGGTTACCGTAGCCCCCTTGGTTATTCATTGGAGGTTGATTTCCTTTAAAAAAATATATAAATTTAGATATTGATGGTAATTTTATATTAGCAATAATTATTTTTTCCTTACCCCATCCACCTCCACCGCCTCCTTGTGGGTTGTTCTCCCATGGACTTGGTGGCTCTCCCCAATTATCATTATCATAACCCCTGTTACCGCCCCAGTTGCCGCCACCTTGGTTTCCGCCGCGGTCGTTCCAGCCTCCTTGACCACCACCGCCTCCCATATTGCCACCACGTCCACCAGAGTTGCCACGCCCACCGCCACCACCTCGGGATGGACGATCACCTTGACGTTCCATCATGTCCTGTTTTGATACAGCCTTCTTAACATCAATAGGCTTCCCACAAACTTCGTGGTGCTTCTGTAAAACTATCTTATCGACTGTGTCATAGTCTTCAAATTCAACAAATGCAAAGCCACGTTTCTTTCCAGTATCACGTTCCGTTATAATATTGACGCTATAGATCTGCCCGAACTTTTTGAAGTACTCTTGCAAGTCATTCTCCTCCATCTCAGCCCGGATGCCTCCCACAAACAGTTTTTTTGTGGTGGCGTTGGCTTCGCTCCTGTCAGCTTGTTGTCTTGGCACAGCCCTCTTGGTTTCAACAACTCGGCCATCGATTCTGTGAGGTCTGGCGTTTTGGGCATCATCAACCATACTGGAATGAGAGTAGGTGACGAAGCCAAAGCCACGTGGGCGCTTTTTGGCATCCTTCATGACTACAACGTCTACAAGTTCGCCCCATTGTTCGAAGTGGGATTTTAAGGTGTCGTCGGTGGTACGGTAGTCCAAGCCGCCGATGAAAATTTTACGGCAGTGCTCTGGCTCGTAGTTATCGCGTTTATCTTCTTGTCTAGAAAAAAATGAATAAATGATAAGGGAGAAAATTAGAGGCAGTATATAGATAATGATGCAAAACCATAATTACAATGAATGAATGAACAACAAAAGATTTACAAAGTTACAATAAAGACTTATTTTATAAGTCCAAGTGTTGAAATACAAGAAATGTGTGCAAACAGTTTTTCTGAATGTACTCTGGTAAATTGCAAGACAATAGCTTCCTGAATTATTAAATAACCATCGACCTGACTTATGTGAAGAAATAAATGCATAAATCAAAATGAGTATTCTGCAATCACTTCGAGGCAAAACTATTCATGTAATATACATCAATTCAATCTATAAAAATATACATCTTAAGGTTCTAAGACTGGATCAGAAATTCCCAAACTGTAGATTGTCAGATATCGATACGAGAAAAATAAGGATTCATCAAATACAAAAAACACTGTCAAACAATTAGTTACTAGTAATTTATTTAAATTTATCAAGAGTTTCTAAACACATTTTTGATTAATAAATATTAACATTAACTAAACCAAAATCCGAAGGAGGCCTCTAGAGGAAATATAAAATATGAAATAAAAAGTCTGATCTACTTATATGACTCACAATGGAAATTAAACAAAAATATGGTCAACACGAGAAGTAATAAATAACATTTAACTTATAGGAGCTTTTAGACAATTTTTTTTTTTTTTTTAATTTCAATAATTATTACAACTGCTAATTTTTTTAGACAAATTTTATTTGGTACGTGAAATATATTAATTATATATACAAGATTTACAGTTTGAAGAATAAAAATAAAACTATAGCAAATAAGATCTAAGAATGAGAAAACTGATCAATGCTTAACAACTTTGTTGTATTTATTACTTGTTTAGTAATGTTTTCAGCTAATCAAGAAAAATCTTGACAATCTTAACAAAAGATAATCACAATAAATATATAATTCAAGTCTTTATGACTAGATCAAAAATATGTATCTACAAATCTTTATACGAACATTCTAACAGTGAGAAAATAAGGATTTTGAAAGTGTTCTTGGGAAAAATGATCGAAGAAGTTACAAACAAGGTTCATAAGATTCTGAATATATTTGATATGCTAAATTTTTTATTTCTGCATTTATTTCTTCACATAAGTCAGGTCGATGGTTATTTAATAATTCAGGAAGCTCTCTTGCCTTGCAATTTACCAAGACTTTAGTAGTCTTATAAAAAATGTATCATATAAAGCAAGTCTGACGACATACAGGGTTCAGGGTAAATGACTGTATTAAAACAAACATCTAAGAACCTGTACAATGCTTTGCAAGACTTGTTTAGAATTAAATTTACAAGCCCCATGTAAAATCTACAAATGTAAAGTGATCGTCAAATACATCAAATAAATGTACATTAAGATTCATGAGTTTCTAAATATATTTTATTTGTCTAAAATCTTTTACTTATTAAAGAAAGATTGTAGCAGTCTTTCAGATAATTCAAGACCGATTCAGAGTAAATAATTCTATCAAAACAAACATCCAAGAACTCGTACAATGCTTTGCATAACTTTAGACAGCCTTTTAGTAAACCCAAAGCCCCCATAAAAATTCTACAAATGTAAAGTGATTGAGAAATATATCAAATAAATGTGAAGTCAAATATACATACGATTTCCATGAGTTTCTAAATATATTTTAAGTGTCTAAAATCTTTTACTTATTAAAGAAATACTATAGTAGTGTACCAGTAAATTCAAAATTGATGGCATACAAGAGTAAATCATTCTATCCAAAAACTCATACTAAGAGTTGCCTTGACGATTTGAGACTAGACTTGCTTAGAAAGCTTTTCAGCAAATCTGAGGCTCCCATAAAAATTCTACAAATGTGAAGTTATCGACAAGTGAAGCCAGTTATACATACAAGATTCATGAGTTTCTAAACATATCTTATGTGCCAAAAACGTTTTATTTGTTAAAGAAAGACTGTAGTAATCTTCCAGAGTATTCAAGCCTAATGGCATACAAATAATATCTAAGAATTCGTACAACACTTTAAAGGACTTGCCCAGATGAGCTTCTCAGTAAATCTTAAGCAACCAAATGAACTAATACAAAAAAAAGTGATTGAGATATATATCAAATAAATGCAATGTCAAATATACATACAAGATCCATGAGTTTCTAAATATTTTTATGTGTTTTACTTATTGAAGAAAAACTGTAGAAGTCTTTTAGAGAATTCTGATGACATAGAAGATTCAGAGTAAATCATTATCAAAACATGAAAGAACTCATACAACGCATTAAAAAACTTGTTCAGCAAAGCTTTCAGTAAATCTGAAGCTCTAATAAAAATTCTAGTAATGTAAATATATCAAGAATTAGTTTCTAAATACATTTTGTGACTAAAATCATATACTTATTTAAAAAAGACTGTAATAGTCTTCCAGAAAATTCAAGCCTGAGGACATACAAGATTCAGAAAGAATAATTCTACTAAACAAACATCTATGAATTAGTACAAAGCTTCACAAGAGCCGAACTTTCCAATAAATCTGAAGCCACCTTAAAAATACTACAAAAGGAAAGTTTTCGAGAAATATATAATATAAATGTAAAGCCAAAAGCTTCTAAACACATTTTATGTGCCAACAACGTTTTATTTGCTAAAGAATTACTGTAGTAGTTTTTCAGAGAATTCAAGTCTGATGACATACAAGATTCAGAGTAAATAATTCTATCAAAACAAACATCTATGAATTAGTACAAGCCTTCACAAGAGCCAAGCTTTTCAGTAAATCAGAAGCCCCCCTAAAAATTCTACAAAAGTAAAGAGATTAGAAAATATATCAAATACTTGTAAAGCCAAATATATGTACAAGATTCATGAGTGTCTAAACATTTTTGATATCTCTAAAACGTTTCATTTGTTAAAGAAAGACTGAAAAGTAGTGAAACTGTACACTTTAGTCTGAAGGACTAAAGTAGTCTTTCAAAAATATAAGTCTGACATACAAAATCCAAAGTAAATGATTCTATCAAAATAAAAATCCAAAAACTCGGGACTTACAAGATTTAGAAAGTATAATTCTACTAAACAAACATCTACGAATTAGTACAACGCTTCACAAGAGCCTAGCTTTTCAGTAAATTTAAAGCCTCCCTAAAATGCTACAAATGCCAAGTGATTAAGAAATATATCGAATAAATATAAAGTCAAATATCATACAAGATTCATGACTGTCTTAACATATTTTATGTATCGAAAACGTTTTATTTATTAAAGAAAGACAGTAGTAGCCTTCTTAAGAATATAAGTCTGATGACAAACAAGATTTAGAGTAAATAATTCTATCAAAAAAAGCGTCTATAAATTAGTATCTAAATTTGAATCCCCTCCCTAAAAATGCTACAAATGTAAAGTGATTAGAAAATATATCAAATACTTGTAAAGCCAAATATATTTCGTTTATTTGTTAACTAAAACTTTAACTTTGTTAAAATATTACGTTTCATTTGTTAACGAAAGACTAAAAAGTAGTAAAACTGTGTACGTTAGTGAACTTTAGTATGAAAGACTAAAATAGTCTCCCAGAAAATATAAGTCTGATGACAAACAAAATTCGGAGTAAATGATTCTATCAAAATAAACATCCAAAAACTCATACAAGGTTTGCAAGACTTGCTTAGACAGCTTTCTAGTAAATTTGAAGTCCCCATGAAAGGTCTGAGTCAAATATACATACAAGATTCGTGTAAATAAACATTCAAGTTTCTAAACATATTATATGTACCTGAAACGTTTTATTTATTAAAGGAAGACTTTAGTTACTGTAGTAGACTTGTAGAGAAATATATCATAAAAGGAAAATCATTCGACATACAAAATTCAGCGTACATGATTATAGCATAATAATAATCAGAGTACATAATTATAGCGGTCTAAGACTTTATAAGACTTGTTTAATATCGTTTTCGCCAAATATGGAGCCCCCATAAAAATTCCACAAAGGTATCTCATTAGACAAACAAAATGGCGCCGGTGTTTTAAAGCCAACAAAGCATCTTGTCTAAAACTTAAAATACGCGAAAAAACATACAAATAACAATAAATAAATTGACTTCAACTATACGCCCTTAGAATTTACACATAAACTCCACTAATATTTTCCTGCATCCATTAAAAATCTAATTTATCCCAAATGGCGTCTACACAACAACGCCAACAAGACAAGGAAGCTTTATTGAAATATATTGCTAATACAGAATATATATACTCACTTCATTTTTCTTGTAACTACAGACACTTATAACAAACTAATTTCACTAGTTAAATTATTATAACTATTTTATTAACCCGTTTATACGTGTAAACAAATGAAACAGGTTCAACTCGGCTTACTACGCGACGGAACAAAAGTCAGCAACTTCTCGAACTACGTTCAGTGCCGGTTTGGATATGGCAACACTAATTTGACATATATGGAATGTGGTCTGTTCTGTCTGCACTTTGTAAAGGATTTAAGAAATCGTTATTTAAATCATATTTAAATATGAAGTACTTATATATTTAATTCACAAAAAAAATTAAATCACAAAATTGCTTGAACCTTTTGATACGTGTAAAGAAAACGACTTAAGCAGTGTGAAGTTGTTTATTTTGAAATTTTTTTTTCGTTTTTATTGGAAACTAATGCATATAATTTTTAATTGATAGACTTAATTTAATAATAGCGTAATTTGATTAATTATAGTATATAATGTAGTACAATCCTAATTTTGATAAACTTTTATAATTCAATCACTTTTGTAGACAACCTACAACATTTTCAGACAAACTACAACTTCTGAAGACAATTTACAATATAAATGAGCAATATACACCATTTATAGACAATTTGCAATATTATGTTGATAATCTACAACATTTTGAGATAACTTACAACATTTTTAGACAACCTACAACACTTTCAGATAACTTTTAACAATTTCAGAAATTCTACAACCATAGATAAAAGAAGAGTAGTCTACAACCTTATTTTACAAGCTACAGGATTTTTAAACAATTTACAACATTATTGGGCAATATACACCATAAACATAATTAGAGCTCTATAACTTTTTTGAAATTTTATAATAGTATTCACTAACCATTCAACTTTATATAAATGTTGGTTTATTTAAATTTTCAAAATCGATTCAAGATTTTGGCCCAAAGTTAGAAAGGTAAAATGAGGTTTTAGCTGGTATTATTTATTGAGTTCAATATACCCAGACAAAAAACCTAGTTTGTTATACAAAACAAAACAGCCACACATACTACTTACAAATTTAGAGTCAAACGATTCAGAATGACTTAAAACGTTGGGAAAATATGAAATAATTAGGTCAGATTATAAACAATGACTTAAAATTAATGGCCATACACATAGATAAATAAGTATAATTTGTGAATTCTTTGTGACTGTGAATTTCTGAAATCGTTGCTGCCATTTTCGAGAAAGCGTCGACGTAGAGTCAACTTTTGGCTTATAGTCTAGTCATTATAGTGAGTTTACCTCGGAATTCGAGACACCCAGCTGTAAGTCTGTAAATACACATGTAGGTGTCAATATACAAGTATTTACAGGCTTACAGCTGGGTATCTCGAGTTCCAAGATTCTTTCCTAATTTTAGCTTAAATTACTGGACTACTATATACCCACACATACAAACATACAAACACATGCACACACACATACGCAATTGCGTTCTATGGAAAGAGAAAGGGCAAATGGGACTTCGCCCATTTAAATGATGAGTATGTTTAAGAATTATAACATTCATTATAACAAGTTAAGAATTATAACATTCTAGATCCTTCCCCTACGAAGTGATGCCTAAAGGCTGTTTTCGTGGGGACCAGAGGCAAGGGCAAAGCGGAGGTTTTAGTCGGTATTATACCAGGGCGGTATTGAGTTCGACATAGCCAGACAGAACACCAGTCTGGAATGCATAAAAGCATTTCCTTCGCTATACAAAAAAAAAACACATACACAATTTTGGACAAAAAATTAATTAGAAGTGAGGATTGTGGAATTCTAGAGCCTCCCCCATAAAGTAATGTTTAAACGGCGGTGGGGACAAGAGGCAAGAGATAAACTGAGGTTTTAGTTGGTATTATTTAGGCCAACATACCCAGACAAAAGACCTAGTTTGCAATACAATAAAACACCCACAAATGCATTTTCAAAATACATTTAATTAAATTGATTAATAATACCGATAACAAAAGTGAATAAAAATTAAGCCCTGTTAAATACTTTTTTTTAAATACATTTTTGTTAATGAATATTATTCATTTTTCTACCATTTTCCTATTCTAAAATATTTCGCATCTGGCAACCCCATGCATATTATATGACATTTATCGTCTCTTTCGCCTGCCCAATGTTTTCGTTCTTAATAATTAATAAATAATGAGTGAAATATTCAAAACTATTAATTAAAACTGAAACAAAACCGATTAATTAACTCGAAACATCAATAACCTCCTTCACATAAATATTAAGTGTATTACAAAATCCAAAAAAAATAAACCAACACCAACTAAACTCACAATCAAATTACCTTAAAACACTTTGTAATAAAAAAAATACAATAAAATCCAAAATTCAAATTTGCAAACGTTTTCGAAATTTTGGAATAATGCCAAAATCTATTATATTTGTTTCCTATACTATTACACAAGGTAACTCTGGCTAATCTAAAAATACTTATGTCCCATATCTGGTGCTTTAAAATAACCAATTAAAATGAAAATATTATAATAAATACAATAACTAAATTGACATTTTAATAATAAAAGTGTCTTTTAGCTGTTTTTAATAATGACAGCAGAAGTTATGCCTCATTCATCAAATTGGGACCCGGGTAAAGAATTGTTTTTTATTATGAGTTTTAGTGATAATTTTTATTTTGAGTGAAAATGTTGAATATATACGTGAGACAGGTGTTAAGGATCTTTCGAAGGGTACAATTGGTAAAATTAAAGTATATTTTTGATAAAATGTGCAGAAAATTGATTGCTGTTTATATACTGATATACTGAGACAAAAGACTTAGCTTGCTATATGAAAAATTACTTATGCACACACATACTATTCTCGAATTTGGGGTAACGATACCATATACTAATTATTATATATTTTAGGTATAAACTGGCAAAGAAAACATAACTGATTAGTTTTTATAGACACAAATACACCTAAGTCTGTTTTTACACGGAGATTGGTTCCAGAAGAAGCCGTGTAAAAAAAAAAACGTGTAAAAAAAGACATTGATCTTATACAAAAATGGGTGATTTGTTCCTAATCTCTAAAACCTATTAAAATTGGTGAAAAACAAGAATTTTTGAGAACAAGAATTAAATTAGTGCTATTCACATTTGCTTTGACCAGTAAAAATTGTTTGTACGCGCTAAAGGGGAATTCACTTAAATCTTAAGCTAGTGTTCGCAAACTATCGATACTATCAATGGTTTCAGACTTTTCTTTCATAAATACTTTTTTGTGATATGAACATACTTCGCAAAAATTTAATTTGACAAATAAAATTTAGGTACATAAAATTTCAAATCGGCTAAATGGAATAAATTCATGTAAAAAATTAAAAATATTCAATTTTCAAACCGTGTTTATATCAAAACCGTTGTACAAAAAGACGTGTAAAAACAGACTTAGGTGTACTATATTTATTAATGCATTCAGAATCAAA